ACAACGTTGTTCCAGGAAGATGGAGCACCGTGTCACACTGCTAGAAACACCCACAAGTGGCAGGAAGAAAATGGTATCCAGAAGTTGCCCTGGCCGAGCCAATCTCCTAACATGAACCCCATCGAAAACCTCTGGGCCAGTCCAGAAACAATCAAAAAACCAACTTCGAAGAGCGATCTACTCCAAGTTTTGAAGCAAGAGTGGGCGAAAATCCCACAATCTAAAATTACCGAGATGATTCTCACGATACCCCAACGGATCAACGAACTCCACGAAGCGAAAGGAAGATCTACTAGATATTAATTAAGTTATAAATATATCAATTCATGTGAATATGACTGAAAATTTTCATTTTTTCTGAAAAGGTGGTGTCTATTTACTTGTGACCACGCTGTGTACAATGGCAAACTTGCGACTGAACCACATCTGAAGGTAATCGAGGGTAGTTGGAAATAGTGAAATTCTCAGAGAAAACTGGTCTTCGGACAGGCGCCACTGAAAGGTGTCTCATGAGAGCACAACCTATAGGAGTTGTCTCGTACAGAGAAGTACTAGTTGTGATTTAGGACAATCATTAACATTTCAGTTTACTTATTTGAGAAAGCTAGTTAAATATTTTGTATTTTAAAACCAAGAAAACACGTCCATTCGGAAAAGTACATAAAAATCACAACAGAAAAAGTATTTTGAAAGCACTTAGGTTATTGAGTTAATTGTACTGTAATGTTTTGTATCTATGATATGTGCTGCTGTATTTTATGTGTTTCTGTGTAACATAGGATTATAAAAAGTTAATTTTCGTTTGAAGGAAGGGTACTTCAGCATTTGACATGCATTCAATAATATATGGTACGTATATGTATTCCTGGTACTAAGTGACCTGTATTCTGTTTGTCATGAATGTCTATTATTTTTATCCCTTTATTCAGGACTGTAATTCATGCTGGATATAATCAAATACTTGATGATGTCCTGTTCTACATTGATTGGCCAATTCATTAGGATTATCTCTTTAAATAATAATACAAACTTGTAGAATACTTAATCATATTGTGTTTTTTGGGACGAACATGAATGTCACATTCGACATCGTAATGCATTGCTGATTTTTGTGTACCATTTGTGGAGTAGGGTCCCTCGTATTCCATGCCACGCCGAGTCCAGTCTATTATCACAGCTTTGAAAAGGGTGTAATAGTGGAACTAGAGAGAACAGGGCCAGGCGTGTCCTAGTAGATAATGTGCATGTACTTTGAACCTTAGGTTTCATGGTTTGCGAACCGTTGCCGCAAAAAATTGCACTCTGCACTTTAGGATCATTGACACGCTATAGGAGTGACTTTCAAATTTCACTATTCGCTCAAACAAAGGTAGTCCAAGAGCTGGCTATTAAATAGTTGTCTTTCCTCTAGTCCATCCGGTTAAAGTTAGGGACGAATAAGCACAGATAGCCATTTTGTAGTCAACTTATAAAACAAACAAGCAATAACTTCATTATAAAATACTTTTTTTGACTGGCTATTTAAATACATTCATTGTTAGAGACTGTCAACGCTGACAGAAGAGAGGGACTACGTCAATCAGCCACGCACCTGTATTTTGTATTATAAAAGAACAATTTTGAATTTTAATATATTTAATATGAGAATCGTGGTTTATACCAACAGTCTATCTTTAAGCTTGAAACGGTTACGAAAGGAAAACTCATCAATGAGAAAAATTAAATTTATAGACAATATTTCTTGTTTATATATAAAATTCAAGTTATATAATATTTTGGGCTGTGTCATTTCCCCATGCATACCGCACTGTAGCACCGCTACATGTAGAAGGGCGTGGTCCGAAATTTCCTATCAAAATTACATACAGAAGCTAGAAATAAATAAAAATCACTGACTTTTGTTTTAATAATTGTCCTTAGTTTTATTTATTTTTTATTCGGCTGATATTCGTTTATCAGAATCCTCCCATCTTTATTAGCATATTTCGGCCCTAAGCCTGATTGATTTGAGAGCACACTTTGCGCGAGAGATAATTCTGTTGTTATATATTAAGCCTATGGAAATAATCTACTATTATGAGTTCCATTGTTTACGTGATTTCTAAAACTAATATATTTTAATGTGAGGGAATCTTAGGTTAAACATTAAAACCAATGTATACTTATTTATGATAATGTCATTTATTTTATCACTCACAACTCGTATGTATTTTAATTCTACTTCTAGAACTCAAAACTGTATAAAGTTTTATTTTTTTTTAAGCAAAGTGGTCTTGAGTTCATTATTATCGTTAACTTCTATATCATTTGTTCATTAAAAGCCATTAGAGACCCAATTTGATTCGGCTCTAAGTCATTTATGGTGAAGTGCTTTCAAATAATAATTTCACATAATAACGTTGGTGTGTCAAGTGAGAATGCTGTTGCGTCTCATGTTAAACATCCGAAATAAATGTGTCTCAAAGTACAACACCTTTTAAGTTCATAAATGAAGTAGAGCATTTCTAATGTCTCACTTTTCTCCTGTTTTGTTGAATATTTTTATTGTTTTATTAAACATATTATTGTTTCAGTGACACTCCACATTTTTACAGCGTTATCACCATACTGACACCTGTAGGAATAAATTAGACTTAAAACAACTCAGATTCTGTTCTGATTAGTTCCTCTGAAAATGTTTCTATTTTTATATGAATAGTTATTTATACTTTTACTACACTTAAAATAAAAAAGCTTGATACTTACACGTTCTTCGTCCCTCTGCTAAAGCCTTCAAGTAATGAAACAAGGTTTATAAAGTGTAGTGTAAACTCTAGCTATTATACTTTTACTACACTTAA